CGGTGCTGCGGGGCGGCGTGACGCTGAGGCCGAGGGTGGCCCCGGGGACGCCGGGGCACGGCGTGGCGGGGAGCCCCGTGGGGCGTCCTGTGTGGCGCCCCGAGACACCGCGGCACGGCGTGGCGGGCAGCACCCTGTGACGTCGTGTGGGACCTCAGACTCCGTCACACGCGCACGGCGACACGCCAGATCCAGCGTCGCACCGCGAGATCGACGCACTGTGGAAAAGGGGTTGGGGGTGACCTCACGAGGTGCTGTGTGAGGCTCTGTGGGCCCCAGGCAGTGTCACACTGACACAGGCACTGCTGGAGTGAGATGGGGAGAATAAATACGGTGACGCTGTAGCGGTGACGGTGACGGGTATTGACCTTTTATCGCCGGCACCATGGGACCCAGTGAACTGATGTTGAGCTGAGGAGTCAGGCGAGGAGTCTGTGACCACGTGTGAGATTTACACGTGCTTGGGACTGGATGGCACGACACCGTGGACATCATACTCTGCACGTGAATAATGCTGAGTAATTTTATAGGTCACTATATGAATAATGGCTTGTGTTCATTCATTCAGTCAACACATTTGTTTGAGTACCTACTATGAGCCAGGTAGTGTTCTGGGCGCTGGGGATAAAATGGTGAACAAGGTCCCAGATCTGCCCTCAAGGAGTCTGGGATTGTAGCATCATGATTATTAATCAGAGATGCCCACAGCCTTCTTTGTTTTCAGTTCTTCTTTCCCTTCACACACATAAAAACTCTTTAAACACTACATAAATGAGATGTTATATGTGTGTGTGTAAAAGTATTTGATGTCATGAAAGCACTGTGATAAACCATACTTGAGTCTAGGAGATACTGAGTGTCAGTATCACAAGCAGATGCCCAGCCAATAATCAACAAACTCTAGCACTACACGCTGTGGATTAAAAGATTGTAAGGCTTGGGACACTAGGGCACCATAAAAACGAGTGGACTTTGTCAGTGTCAAACTATGGAAGATGAATGATCGCATATGATACCATGTGTATGAAAATGTATTGTGCCTTCTCTACTTGGAACATGGAGGAGCCCACAACACTGTGAGAAACTGGTTGTGACCACGTCACTAGTTGAATATATTAATGTTGTACTTATATCATGTGACCTTCTGACTGAGCTGAGACAACACAGTGCACTGCTTTTAAAACTGTGAGTGTATGTAATCCTGCGCGCTCCAGTCTGGGTGACACTCCAACTCAAAAAAAAAAAAAACCAAACAAACTGTGAGTGTAGTTGGGCACCGTGGCTCAAGCCTGTAATCCCAGCAATCTGGGAGGCTGAGGCGAGAGGATTGTCTGAGCCCACGGGTTCAAGACCAGCCTGGACAACATGGTGAGACCTCGTCTCTACAATAAAATCACAAAATTAACCTGGCATGGTAGCACGTGACTGTAGTTCCAGTTACGTGGAAGGCTGAGGTGGAAGGATCTCTGGAGCCCAGCTGGTCAACGCTGGGATGGCCGTGAGCATGCCACTGCCCTCCAGCCTGGGTGACGGAGTGAGGCGCTAACTCAAAACAAACGAACAAACAGAAAACAAAACTGTGAGTGTATACAATAATACTACTGATTCTGGGGTGACATGGGAAGAAGATGCATGGGACACGATGACCAGAGAGTCCATGTAGAAGAAAAACTGTCTGCATGTGGACATTTGTGAGAGATCTTGTTTGTTATTCAGTGGTGACTGAATGAGGTAAATTAATGCATGTTCTTAAGTATGTAGCATATGAACAGTAATAAGCATGTCTAAGTTTGCTGTTAGTTTGAATTAGTGTGTTGATATACATGTATAATGTATGTGTGCTATTTTAACAATAAACGATGATAATTTTTTTTTTTTTTTGAGTTGGAGTCTCACTCCATTGCCCAGGCTGGAGTGCTCATGGCCACCCCAGCATTGACCTGCTGTGCTCAGGCGATCCTTCCACCTCAGCCTTTCAAGTAGTCAGAACTACAGGCATGTGCTACCATGCCCGGTTAATTTTTTGATTTTATTGTAGAGACGAGGTCTCACCATGTTGCCCAGGCTGGTCTCACCATGTTGCTCAGGCAATTCCCCCGCCTCGGCCTCCCAAAGTGCTGGGATTACAGGTTTGAGCCACCACGCCCGGCCATAAATGATGATAATTTTTTATATTTATTCTGGGAATATTATACTTGCCTAGTGTTCTATGGGTCTGTATTGCCAGAGGAAAATGTTTAACTTTGGTTTCTAGTTCAGATTCATTGGAGTCCAAGCTCATTGGGAGAAATGGAGCAGACTTTTTTCTCTTCGATTTGGGAGCCCAGCGTGATTCCTACCACCCATGTGCCTGTTCCCATACCCGTAATCTCTGTTTGGATGCCTCAGGTGGAGCTGGGACAGTCAAAATCCCTGCAACAGCCTCTCAGGAAACAGGCTCAAAAGAGAGCACTTAAAACGTTTTAGCCAAAGCAGCTGGCCACCTCCTCCCCCACTCCTCCATGCTAGCCTCCTTCACCATCTTTTCACTGTTGTCGTTGTCACAACTTTGTCATAGTGGGGGGGTCTTGAACAAATTTTACCTCTTTCATTCTCTCCCACACACAATGCTTTGAAATAGGTTTGTCTTATGCTCTTAACAAATGAGAAAACTAAAGTCTAGTAGTGGCTTATCCAAGATTATAGATCTAGTAAGTAGCACATCTAGGATTAGGACACAGATGCTTTGATCATATATCCACCTTTCTCTCCATCATGGTATGATGTCCCTACCACTTGTCTTATGTATCCTACCAGGACACAGACCAAACCCCTAACTACTTGTTTTGTTAGCGGCCAGAATACATGGTGGTGAAGAGTCTGGATTCAGGAGTTTAACAGATCTCTATTTGAATTTTTGGTTCTGACCTTGGGCAAGTTCCTTGATCTCTTTGAGCTTTAGTTTCCTAGTCTGTAAAATGATGATTAAAAACAATAGGCTGTTAGAAGGACTAATTGCCATGTAAACGTTTCATTGCACATGACATGTAGTAATTGCTTGACAGATGTTAACATTTTTATGATTATTGATTATTTTAAGACTGGCTGGTGAGACTAGTCACCCCTTTTGGCTCTAAGTGTTAACTAGGATTAAAAAAGAATCAGAAAAATTCTAGGTTCTTCTCTCAGGTGACTTATGAACAGTTAATTCTGTAGTTTAGTTTCATATTTTGGAGATCGGCGGTCTGTTCTCCAGTCACTGCTCTAAAATCCAGTGAAATGTTTGCTTTTTAAAATGAGAATTTTGGCAGTTCCTGCTCATTTTTTCTATACTCCCAATCTGGTGATTTTATGTAACTTGAGATGTTATTTCTAAGGCCTTTCGTTGATATTCTTTGAATTTCTAAATAGGAAAAATGAAGCATTTTTGAGTTGAAACTACTACCTATTCCAAGTTAATGATTAGAAATTATACTAGCTATAGTGTATATAGTTATATACTAGAATGGGGTGTGTGTGTGTGTGTGTGTGTGTGTGTGTGTGTGTGTGTGTGTATTTAACCCCTAGCTTTTTTTGTTGTTGCTATTACTGCATTTTAAAACACCACCAAGATTAGAAGTATCAATTATTTCTGTGTTAAGAAGTAAGCATTGAGAATGTTTCAGAAGAACTGAGACAAAGCCATTTCTGAATTCCAAAGGAGAAACATATTGAATTGGAATAGCCCATATATTGTTGTTGGACAATTTGTCCAGTCTGTTTAATGCAGGGATTGGGTTGCAAATTTTATGTGCAGATTCTTGAAGGAAAAGATCTGATTTTCCACTCTCAACAGCATTTGTTAAAGCAAAAAGCCATGTAGGAAACCCTGAGGTTTGAATTTAGCATCAAGTAACTCAGTATCCAGTCTCTGGAAACCAACTATTTGCTCAGACACTGGGCATAGGGCCAACTTTTGGATTCCAAGCCAACCTCAGCTATCAGTTGATAGATTGTTTATTTCTTCTTTGTGTGACGGAAAAATGGTATATCTGAACACTGGATTCAACTGATGTACTGCGGTGGAGATCAGATCCCTGGCTAAACAAACCAGCCCCAGAATGCAAAGTGGAATACCGAGAGAACAAGGAAATAGACAGTGCTTTCAATTTGATGGATTACTTGGGGCAAATATTCCCCTCTCTGTCTTACCGCTTTCCTTTTGTGTCTCAGTTTTTTTTCTGATCCCTGTTAAACATTAGTTCTCAAGCTGACAAGGACCTTATTTATTTAGTTGTGGAAAAGGTATGGGAAGAAATCATAGAAAGTGCATGCTGAAAGAATCCACAGAAATCTTCTAGACTAGACCAGTTCTTTCATTTTACAGAGGAGGAAACCGAGGAATAGTTGGAGACTGGGTCAGATTAAGTCTCAGGTCTCCTCCCAGCTCCTTCCTATCCAACTGTCTTATAAAATCACTGCCCTCTCAGTCTCCATTGTTCCTGGACACTCACTCTCTAAGCTCAAGCCTAATTCTCTGCTTGTAAGTTTTTTTCATCTAGTAATGGAATATCTTTCACTAAGTAGTTCCATATGGAGCAAAGCAGGAAATAATGGGTAGTAAAAAGATCCCACACCCTAGAGGCTGGTTTAGTTTCAAAACCCTAGACTTGCGGCTCACAGACTGCCCTGTTTTAGGGATCAGGGACACCCTGGGACTTGACAGGCTTCCCGTTTCCTCCCTGGGGTACCCAGACCCACAGTCTTATTCCTTAGTGTATATATTGAATAGAACATTCGGTTTCTTGGAAGCTGAGAGGTAGTCATCTTCTATTTCAGGTTCCATTTCATAGCTGAGGGCCCCACCTATGGATTTAGAAATTCTCAGATCAGGTTCTGCTCCCAGAGATCGAAATTCCCCCACCCTGCCACTCTAGTTTTCACTTTCATTGCTGTCCACTTGCAGAAGTCCCCCAGGTGGACAGCAATGAAAGTCCTTGCCAAAGAACTCATAGTCTCCCCTGCTCTTGTGCCCATTTATATTTTCATTTCACTTTGCACAGATTCCTTTTTTTTAAAACTTCCATTGTTATTATATTGTTTTTGAAACTAATAATTTTTTTTTTTTTTTTTTGAGTTGGAGTCTCACTCTGTCGCCCAGACTGGAGTGCAGTGGCCGCTCCCGGCCACCGCAGCCTCGACCTGCTGGGCTCCGGTTATCCTTCCTCCTCAGCCTTCCGAGTAGCCGGAATTACAAGTGCACGCTACCACGCCCAGCTAATTTTTTTTTTTTTTTATTTATTGTGGAGATGAGGTCTCACCTGCCCAGGCGGGTCTCGAACCCACGGGCTCAGGCAATCCACTTGCCTCCCAAAGGCGCGGGATTACAGGCTGAGCCACCGAGCCCGGCTGAAACTAATAATTTTAAAACAAGGGGGGGAAAAATCTCTTAGAGGGCAGGCCTAACACTTTTAATCTGCCCTGTTACAGATAAATTTCAGTAATATAAATTCCATCAGCATGTTAGAAATGGAATCATCATAGTATACTAGGAAAGGAAACAGTATCTTTTGCCCTGAATGAACACTTTTTGTTGTTGTTGTTGTTGTTGTTGTTTTGAGTAGGAGTCTCACTGTCAACCAGGCTGGAGTGCAGTTACACAATCACGGCTCACTGCGGCCTCGACTTAACCGGGCTCAGGCAATCCATCTGCCTCAGCCTTCTGAGTAGCTGGGGTTATAGGCACATGCCACCATACCCCCTAATTTTTTTTTTTTTTTTGTAGAGACGAGGTCTTTCTATGTTGTCCAAGCTGATCTTGAACTTCAAGCGATCCTCCCACCTTGGCCTCCCAAAGTGCTGGTATTATGGGCGTGAGCCATTACACCTGTCCTGTGTATGAACACTCTTGAAGGACATCCAAGGAGGAAAGAAATTAACCAGAAAGATGATCTCTTTGGTAATTGTCACCAAGCTGGAAAGGCTAGAAGCATGCTGGACAAACCTGCCTCTTATTCCCCGTTAAAATCATTGCCAGTTCCTTTATCGTTTACTTCCTCAGTGCCTCCCTTGAATCCATCCATTCTCTGACTCTGTCACAGTTATGGATCAGACTCTTCTTGTCCTGTGCTTACAGTTTTGGAACAAACTCCTCACTAGCCTTCCTGTCTCCCATCCCTTTCACTTCTGAGTCCTCCTCTCCACCTTCTCACGGCTTTATATATGTGAACGAGTCATAGCATTCCCACTTTCACTTAAAGCGTTCCCTGACTGGCTCTGGTCAAATTAATCATCACTTGCTGTCCTCCCCTCTAATCCTTATTCCTAAATCTGGTGTTGCATCTGAATGTAATTGTTGGTGTCTTTCTTACCCACTAAATTGTGGATTCTTGAGACTAAGTTATTGCTTTATTCAAAATTTTGTCCCTAGCTTCTAGGAGGGTATATTCATTCATTTTTTCATAGAAATATGTATTGAACTTATGTACAGAATGATGAGAAAAACAATTGTTTTCTTATCCATGAAATCTGTGAGCATTGGACCCTGTCTTGTCTTTGAATCCCCAGGATCCAGCATGGAGTCTGGCATCCAGCAAGTAACTAGATAGACTTATATGTTAAGCTTCTTCACCTTTGCATACATCAGTTCCCACCTTTTTTTCCTAGATCCACGGGGAATGGGATGGCAGTGAGCTGAGAACCCAGGCTTTGAAGTTAAGCAGACTTGGGTTTAATCCTGACTTTGCCATTTGCTGACAGCGTGGTCTTGTTTCAGTTTCCTCTTCTGTAGCAAAATAAAATCCACACTGTGGCTTGTTGCGGGGATTAAATGAGACAATATATTTAAAGCACACAGCAGGATACCTAATACATGGTAAGAGCTCAGTAGGTAGCAACTATCAATATTTTAACCAATCCTTCAAGATTCAGATGAGGTGCCAATCTTTCCTTCCCCTTCTACCTCCCACCTGGGGGAGCGCCATGCCTACACTTCTCTCATAGCACATGCCACAATAATCATGGATTCGACAATGTTTTTGAGTTTCTACTGGATACTAAGTGTTGAGAATAGTGTGGTGGCAGAAGAAAAAGACTTTCTTGTTTGTTAACTCTTTGAGAGCCGGACCCTGTCTTGCTTGTATACATCTAGCAGCTAGCATGGTGTCTGACATCCAATGAACAAATGAGTGGACCTACTTTTGCCGTATTTGTAGTTTTCATATTTTGTGCTTGCTTGGCTTTTTGGATAGGCAATTACATGAGTCCCCAAAGGCCAGCATTTCAACTCTTCATGTACTTGAAAACACACCTGCCAGCCTTCCACAGGTGTAGTGGTTGTATCTGGAGTTGAGATCATTCTACTACTCTCTTCCAGATTCTATGACAAGGTACTTTCTTTGCATGAGGATTCAACAACCCCTGTGGCTAACCCTCTTCTTGCATTTACTCTCATCAAACGCCTGCAGTCTGACTGGAGAAATGTGGTACATAGTCTGGAGGCCAGTGAGAACATCCAAGGTAAAGAGGAGGAGGGCTGGCGGGGAAGAGAGAAGACTATATCTCCTGACTCAGTGGGTAAGGAGAAAGATTCTGATGGGGTGTGTGAAGGCTATTGGTGCAGGTAGGTATTACTTGATCTTAGCTCCAGCTAGTACAAAGAATTAGGGCCCTTTGCTAGTAGACTTCTAATTATGCATTAGAAAGCACTGTCATAGTCATTATCTCATTTGATCTTCACTGCAATCCTATAAAGTGGTACAGGACTTATCATCCCATATATATATATATATATATATTTTTTTTTTTTTGAGTTGGAGTCTCACTTTGTCACCCAGGCTGGTGTGCAGTGGCACAGTCATGGCTACCCTAGCGTTGACTTGCCGGCTCCGGTGATCCTTCCACCTCAGCCTTCCAAGTAGCCAGAACTACAAGCACGCACTACTACACCCGGCTAATTTTTTGATATATTGTAGAGATGAGGTCTCACCAAGTTGCCCAGGTTGGTCTCAAACCCCTGGGCTCAGGCAGTCCTCTCACCTCGGCCTCCCACCATTTATATATGTGTAGAAAGTAATGGTCTTCTAATAGTTTCTATTCTATTAAGTTGGCATTACAGCATGATCTGTAGCAAGATCACTTTCCCAATTTAGTCTACGTTGTGCTCTAAGAAGTTTGTTGACGTTTGGGAAATTAAGAGAGAGAAGTTTTCCCCCTAAAGGGTAAGATTCCTGGAGATAAATGGGATGGGACAATATGGTGAAGGTGTGTGCGTAATTTTTTTACTCTTCATTCACTCATTCTGATTGTTCCTTAGAAAATTGAAGTAAGCATTCACTCTGTGCCAGGAACTCTGCTTGCTGCCATGAATACAAAGATAAATAAAACATTACCTCATGAACCATTGGAACAGGTGTGATGCCTTCTTTACATGTATTCAATGCTCACCTTCAACGGTGGATCAATGTTTGTACTACTGTTACAGCTCTGAAGGAAGGTTATGAGAAGGTGGAGCAAGACCTTCCAGCCTTTGAGGATCTCGAGGGAGCAGCCAGGGCTCTAATGCGGCTGCAGGACGTGTACATGCTCAATGTCAAGGGCCTGGCCCGAGGCGTCTTTCAGAGAGTCACTGGCTCTGCCGTCACTGACCTGTACAGTCCCAGACGGCTCTTTTCCCTCACGGCAGATGACTGCTTCCAAGTCGGCAAGGTAATGATATTCAGAGGGGACCAATTGCTGGGCTCTAGTTTCTTGTGGATAAAATAACCATGCCCTGATTGCTTTTACATATTTCTGATACTTACAGTTAACTTAGAAATTCGATATCATTTCCATTTTCAGAGGAAGAAGCCTAGGTTCAGAGAGATGAAATAACTTGCCTAAATTAATACAAAATTTTAAGTAGCAGAACTAAATCTTGAGCCCAGTCTTTTACCTTCAAATCCTGCCCAGTAACTAAAGTAATTATATACTTAGGATACTCTTGAGCACGAAAGGATGTTATTAATTATGCCAGAATAATAGGTATAAATTGGGCCTCTGGTCAGCTTAACCACTAGTAGGTAAACCCCTGGATGGAAAGGGAAAGTAGAGGGTGAGGATGGGGAAAGGGATAAGAGATGGTGGTAGGCAAGGAAGGTCATGGAAACTCAGTCTCCTGAGACTTTCTGGAATCTTTGCAGCATTTCCTAAGCATTTAGAAACACAAAATTAATGTAGTAAAAAAAAAAAAAAAACCAAAGTAGTGTCCAAAAACGAAGGCCATTCACTTTAACATTACTTGAGGAAATAGCCTTCAGGAACCTTCTATGTGAGGTGTTTATCTTTGATCACAAGTTATAATCACACTTGAGATCATTTTATAATATACTCTTTGCCAGCCTTTGCCTAAAGATGCAATGGAGTAAGTCCTTTTTAATTTTGAAGATGTGTATCACAGGAAAGTATGTTTTTCCTGCCTCCTACGGTATTCATGAGCAGATCTGAGAGTGGGCCTCGTGTTCTGATTCCAAGTTTTAGGAGTCTGTCTTCCAAATTAATGCAGGGTGGGCTACCCTCAACTCTCTTTGTACCGTTTTCTCTTTTCTGAGATCCTGAGTGGAGTCAGAGCTGAATCATCCTGTTCATGGCTGATTTAAATTTAAGCTGATTAAAATAGTTTGATGTATGTTACTAACATATGCTTCATTAGTGAGGCCTTTCTGAAACAAAAACAGTAGTCTGAAAATTTAGTAAGTCACTTCCTGAAATTCTCACTGGCAGTCTTTATTTCTGTACTTATTTTGAAAGATAAAACATTTCAAATACAAGAAAAGAACGTAAAATAACAGGCAATATCTATAATTGGAATGAAAATATATGTTCAAATATTGCTATATTTGTTCCAGATTTTTATTTTCAAGTTTTAAAAAGCTGTGTTAGCCGGGCTCAGTGGCTCAGCCTGTAATCCTGCGCCTTTGGGAGACTGAGGTGAGTGGATTGCCTGAGCCCACGGGTTCGAGACCCGCCTGGGCAGCGAGACCTCATCTCTACATAAATAAAAAAATCAGCCGGGCGTGGTAGCGCATGCCTGTAATTCC